TATACTACTAAATAATAAAAAGACACAAATATCTATGCAAGGAGGTTCTGACTGAGCCTAGCGGCCCGGCCCGGCCCCGGGATGCCCCTCCCGGCCCGCGGGCCGCGCCGCCCAAGCGCGGATTTGTGCACTTTGGTGAAGTGGGGGCCAGCGCCGCCCCCTCCTCCTCCCCAGGTTCTTACAATCAGTGACTCGGAGATTTGGGGCCCCAGTGCCACTGCCCTCCCCCGCCCCATCCCCGTTGTGCGTCATGCTGTTTTTAAAAAACCTATTTCCAAATTTGTATGGAATGGCAAACTGTTTTTGGGGGGTCGGTTTGGGGAGGGAGGGTTTGCATGAGACACACACACGCACACCGCACCGCACGCACACGCAGGCCCGGCGCGGGCGACCGGGAGCAGAGGGAGGAGAGCTCACTGGCCCCCCTCCCCGCAGCCACCTCTACCCCTTCCCGTGGTGAGGATGGAGACCGAGATCCGGGGGCAGCCCCACTACTGCCCGACTGTGCCCAGTGGGCGCCAGACGTCCAGCGATTTCTGGTGGCTGGAGAAGGGGTTTTTGTCCGAGTTGTCCTCTTGGCTCAGGCTGGCTGGTGGGCAGGAAGAGGGCGAAAGAGGAACCTTTCCCCACCAGAGGCAGGAGATCAGGCATCCAAACACACGATGCAAAAATGCAAACCCACAGGCAACACACCCACACACTCACCCACACACTCACGCAATTTTACCTTCCTCTTATAGCGAAGATAAAACTCCCGTCGGACACCCGAAGTGCATTGCGTGTTTCTGTTCAGTTTAATGACGATTAATAAATATTTATGTAAATGAGATGCAAAGCTGGACCTGGTTTCTCACGGTGGCTTCGTTTTATTCGGGGGATTGAGCTGGGGCTCTGGGTGATGGAGACAGAGTCAAGTGACTGTGCAGAGGCCAGGTAGAGGGACCCTGGACATTCCTGGGTGGGAGTCTCACCCTGCAAACCCTCTCAACACCCACCCAGTGGACACCAGAACAGATACGCTCACTACCCCTCCCAGACTTTACACACACCCCTAGCACAAAACATTGCGCTAATCTCCTTACATTCCTTAATTCCCAAACATACTCACGCACCTCCATTGAAAACAAAATATCTTTTCATCAATGAAAAATGACCAAGTTGGGAGCAGCTGGTCATTTTACAACCTTCTGCCCACTGTTGCAAAAAACAAGTGTGCAGCAATAAAGAGACAACCATTTGAGCCAGACAGGGATATTTTTAAATTTAAAAAATTATAAGGTCATGAGGATGAAATATTAATAGAGAAAGTCTTTTCAGTGTTAAATTTGTACTTCAGTGGACTCAGGGGAATGAGCCATTTTTAGCCTCAGGAATGTTGACATTTGTAAGATTGTTGATGAGGCTGAAGGAAGACCCCAGAGCTCTATGAGGGTGCCTGACATGGGCATCTACCAGATAGAGTGGAGTTCGACCTAGCCACGAGCTTCCCCTGACAGAGCAGTGAGAAACCCCCAGTCCACACCAAGATAGCTTCCTTCCTGCCTGGTGAAGTTCGGCACAGAGGGAAGTCCTCAGCCTAAGGAAGTGGAGAATGGACACCTAGGAGGAGCCTGTCCTGCCCAAGCCGCTTCCCCATCTCAGACAAGGTAGACTCATTATTCTCTTTCTCAGAGCCTCAGGGGCAGAGGCATCTCTAAACTGACTTCCTTGAAAGGACCCCCAAACACACATCAGTGCCCACTGGTCCCCTGGAATATTTGGAGAGGGAGCTAAATCCTAAAGACCCCCATTCCAAAGCCTGAACACATTTAGGAGTGCTGACACTTTGTTTCTAATGCTGCTTAATGAAAAAAAATTTTTTTTGAAAACGCTGTTGCTCTGTTTAGAGCTGAAATTGAGGTTATGATGTTGTTTGGGGTTTGAGGTCAGGCGTGCTCTTAAAGGTTGGATTCAAGAGCCCCAAATGAGAGCTCCCTGACAAAAGTGGGAAAGAAAACATAGTCGAGGAAGGAAACCCCAAATGCAAATGGGCAGATCGGATTATACTGTCTGACTTCCAACTCAGCGGCTCCCGTAAATGACCACCCCAAACCCTCTCAGTCTCCGGGGAGAAAATGCCTCCCTCCTCCACCTCAGGACGGTGGTTGCTGGCGGAGCTGGGGCGGAACCGGGAGCTGTCCGATCCCGGGTGCTGACTCTCGTGCAGCCTTGCGCCTTCTCTCAGCAGAGGGAGACCCCGCGTGTCTGGCCCCTGGGAGTGCCACACAGTGTGAAGCCCTTCCCAAAGCCCTACAGGAATTCGGGGAGGAATTTTCCTGCATTTTCCGGAGAATTTCACTGGAATTCTTTCAAAAATCCACGGTCTTCTCCGGAATTCTCATAAGATTGCCTCTCTAGTGTGAGATTAAGAACTGGGCCCTTCGTCCCCAGAATCGCCCCTGTCGGCGGTCTAAGGGGGTCTTATTCATTTCTTAATTTACCCTTATTCTTGGGAGAAAAGAGTTGACCCACCTTCTTTCTCTTGTGTGGAGTATGGAGCAAGGAGCACATTCCAGACCCAAGTCCGAAGGAGTCTGGTCTGCTCCTGGAATGGGGCAAGGCCTGGCAAGGAAAACTGGAGGGAAAAGCCCTGGCAAGGACAACTCAGGCACTCATCCTGAAGCCTGAATCTTAACCTGCCCTGGGAACAAGGTTAATTTGGCTTCTCTTCCACGTATCTAGTTTCCCAGAACCCGCTTTGAAGTCACAGGCTTGGTGGCATTCATGTGGCTTGGGGTTGGAAGCAAAAGACTCCTCCATGTGGTTTCTCTGGCCAGACCACAGACTCCTAAGCTTTGCTCTTCAGGCTACTCTATAGGCCTAATTCTGTTTTTAAAGCCGGATTCTGGCCCTTTTTGAAAAATGTTGATGACTCTTGGGCCACTATGTCTGTGATTGCCTCAGGAGGGCAGAGGAGCCTGGGCCCCTTTTGGGTTAAGGATCCCAAGTGCATCGGCTTTTTGTGACTCCATACGAAGAAGCCACATTTCCCCCAATTCCTGACCCTTCCCCCACACTCTCTGTACTCGGACTGCTCTCTATCCTCCCATCGCCCTCCTCCCAACACTCAACTTCCCTGGCTAGTTGGCTAGATGAGCAGGAGAAGAATATGCATGTGGACATGAGGCCCCAACACACATCCCCACCCCGCAGGTCTTTTTCTCTTGCTTGCTCTCCCACTTGTGCACACGCAGAGGAACAGAAGGAGGTGTGGAGGAGTGGGGGAGGTGAGAGGGAAGGCAAAAAGGGGCAGAGCAGTGAGAGGGAAGGGGCGAGGAGGGGAGAAGTTGCAAAGAAGAAGACCTCCTTGCCCCAGCCTGAGCAGAGGGGATCTCCAAGCACTCGGCAGCCGTCTCAGCTCCAACCCCTGGGCTGCCAAACCTGGAGGCTGGAGCTGGGATCAATCAGGAGGGCATCTTTCCTTTGATTTTCCCACCCTCATCCTAAGTCCAGTGTTTGGAAATGACAAGGAAAACAGAGATGTCCCTGAGTCCAGGCCATTTGTCCATTGGGGGAAGGAAGGAAAAGCTGTTGCTGCTTCTCCCTTCTCCATTTATTCTCATTCCAGCCATGACCTAGACTGTAAGCCCTTGAACCTCCAATGAACCTCCAATGAACCCCCAGCTCTGATTTCATCACCCGGAGGGACAGTCTAATAAACCACTGACTATGATCCAGAGAAACTGAGCCCTATTAGAGTCAGCAGCAGGGAAGCCCTGACACTCCTTTGACTCTGCTGGGTTGTGTTTGTTTCTCTCTTTTCCCCTTTTATGGGAAAGTCCACAGGCCTATGGGTACAAGGATCTCCCACAGAGCTCGGAGATTTCTTTCCCTCTTTGGTGACCCTTATTTCCTCCTCTTCCCTGGAATCCGTTACCTGAAGTTGCCTGTACCTAGGAGGAATCTGTTGATTTGAGGGGACATTAAAACTGAAGGATAGTTCTAGATTCTACAGTTTAGTTCTCAAGGAAAGTGAGAAGAAAGAGACAGTGCAGACCAGGCCTGAACAGCCTTGGTCTCAACCTCCACTCCCAGGCCCCCCATG